TGATGGGTGCGTCGGAAACACGAGTGGGGGGTTAAACCGTTGTACGGTGCGGCGTGTTTTCCTCGCGTTAGATGTCTCATCTCCGCCTAGTCGGGTTTGGGGGTCCATGACCGTGGACGCGTATCCTGTCTCCTCATGTTGGTTTGCTTTTTTCTATCGGTCGTGTGGGTTGTCTGGGGATGCTTCTTAGCATCAGGAAGCGTGTTTTCCCTGCGTAGGTTTGAGCTCTTCAAGGGAGAACAAAACCAAATACTGGTAGTGTGTCGTGTGGGATTCTCAATCGAGGAAGTTAAGTGTATGTACGATGCCACAAAGTGTGGCTGTAGTGAAAAGCATGTACGAGTGTGTTATCCACGCGGTCGTGATGTGTGAAATGGCTAGCCTCAAGCACGCTTTTGATGCATAGCGCGTTGGGATTTGCGACGGCTGCAAGTATTCTCCTCAGGGATATCTATCTCCCCAGAGTCTGGCGGGTGTTACGAGAGTGGGCTTCGAGTCTGCGTTTTGTCATGTATTTCGTTTCGTGTTCCATGTGTTGCAACATACGTTGATTTCCTTGAAAAAAAAGCAAGGGTCTGTTGATGAAAGTGTTGAGTAAACCTGGACGCAGCCACACCATGCTGCCGCGAGAAAGCGGACTTACTCCACAAGTGACACTCGAACAAAGTGTTCCCTCAAGCCGAACCAACGTACACCGAACGACAACTAGGTATCCAATTGGTCGATCAAGTAATGTTTGCTCCGATTGGCGCTTCCAAGACTCGGGTGAACTCAGTCAGAGACAGGGAGGCCAAGAAAGGGGAAAGCATGAAAGCTCTCGCCAAAGAAACAGCTCAAGTCGTTCAAGCGAAAAACAAGAGGTTAGAGAAACCCGGTGTTGACCTTCCTCCAGTAGTGACCCCGGGTGGTGTGTAAATGTGTACGCCAAAGGCTGGTCGACGGGCGCCCGGCAACAAATGATGGGACGAAAATAACCCACAAAGCACACTTGTACGGGCTCTTGGAGCCGAGGTCAAATATTTGTTCATGCGCCACAGCTGAGTGGGCCAGCGAGTTTTGTCTTCGTATACATTGCTCCCCCCCTCTCTATTTGATGTCGTCGCCCCAACCATGGGTTTTGGATCCCAAGCCCTACTTATCTGCCGTACAATAAAATTGCAAAGTTCGACTCATGTTCCGTCCTCTATTCCACGAAACAAAGAATTGGCAAATTTCAAGTAGGACATTCTTCATCGTTCTTCAACCAATCTTCACCATTCAACCTTTCCAGCACAGCCTTGTCGTCACCCAATATCTTGTACTGAAAAGCGACCTCTACCCAGCCCTTGTTCTCGAGATATCACCCACCTAATCCATATAGTTAACAAAGGTACAGGCGTTAACTCACCCCACATAAGGCCCAGAGCAAACCCCACAGCTTGCCAAGACAACAAACTCCGTGCAAACCCCATAGCTTGCCAAGACAGCAACAAACTCCGTGTACAAGAAAACAAAGCAGAGTAGGGTTACCAAACGTCTTCTCGTCCTTGATTCAGCCTCTTCGGCAAGACGGTTGTACTCGCGAAGCCCCCCCCCCTGGGGTCACACAGAAGCCCCCTCCCATCACTACCTCTCCAAGGTGCCTGTAGTAACCCGCTCGGATTCACCCATCGACTCGTAGTACACGGTCTACGTCAAGCAGCGCCTCTGCCCGATTTGAATGGTTCACAGTTTATCAGTAGTCCGTGGTCAGGGTGGACAGGCGGACGACCAAGGCTGCCAGCAATACCGTCACGCAGGCGCCGCACACGGAGCCAAGGCGGTAGGCCAGCCACATAATGTAGAGCGCGACCCCCAGGCCGACCGTCTACAGCCGGCGGCAAGCGGCAGCAGAACCAGCATGAATAATCGCCAAGTGAAGGGGGGAGACGGGGAACGGAATCGATGGGGAGAACTTACGAGTGGAACAAGGAGCGACAGCAGGATTACAATGGATGGAAAGCCAACAAGGGCGGTGTGTGTATGTGTATGTGTGTGCATAGTCGTGCATGCCGTAGCTGTTAGAACATTGACCTCAAAGGCGAGGGCACGACGAAACTGATCGCGGGAAATCACAAGCGTAACCAGCGCGACAGGAACAGAGTGAGGAATAGCCAAGAGAGGACGGGAGAAGGCGAATATGATCACGAGGAATGAAAAGTGTAGCCACGGCAGGCAGCATGTGGCGCCCGTACGGCTGACGGAGCAACAAAGTGACACGAGCGCAGTGCGAAACTAGGGCAGGACATGCGCATTGTTCGAAAACGAGACGGTCCTCATGATCCAAAGGTGCGAGAGGGACAAAAACGCCCATCGAGGAATTGAAGGGGCTTGAAGTCATATCCAAACACCACTCGCGGCCGCTGTGGAGCTACCGTGGCCGTAGCAGAGAGACAACGCTGCGGAGCTACCGTGAGTGAACACGATTCCGAATGAAATTTTGGCCATGTTGATAGCGAACGCCTTCTTTTCTCCATAGACTTGGTTGGGGGGGGTGGGTCGATAACACCGACGATTTGGAGCGCTGGAAACATTTGACTCTACTCGCCTAGTTCCACGCGAATTGACAACTGCTGGCATGATCTTAACACACGCGATAACACCGACATATATATGCAATCAACAAAACATATCGCACATCCACTTCACATGTAGCGGGACTAGGCAAATATTTACTGCGTACATCGTCCAAACGCGTCCGAACCTTCACGCGTGGTTTTCTATTTCATGTACACGGCGGTACAATAATACGATGATCTTTTGTTCGAGGGAAAGAGAAGAAGATACACGTTGATTACGCGCTCCAAGCTAGCTTGTCCCCTCCAAAGAAGCCCTTCGTTGCACGCACTGCAAACTAGCTTCCAACACATTCGCAAAAAAACGTTCGGCAAACGTCTGTTGCTACCGAAGTCTCCTTCTCTAGGCAACACCGCATGATGATGGACCCTCTAGAGATCCTCTCAGCCTGTAACCACCGAGAACGAGCGCTAGAGTACATTACACCAGGCTTACCGCCCGAACATCCGCGAGGGGCCTTAGATTGACCCTGGAGGGGAGGCCCGCCCACCGCACGTCCCTCCAAACACGCCGCTGGAAGTTCTTTCCTTGGATGATAGCCTTGCCCGAACCCTCATCGTCGAAGACGGAGTCGCTCCCGCTGCCGCGAGAGCCGCCTCCCCCCTCTCCATCCTGCTTTGAATGTGGGGACAACTTGAACTTGAACAATTGGGGACAAGGGCGATCAATTGTTTGAACGTGGAGAAAGTCTCTGTTACCTGTTTTGTCTCTATCTTTCTCTCTCTCTCTTTCGCTGTCTCGTGGCAGCGGTGTTGAACTCCGACTGGTACAGAAACAATGATGGTCGGGTTTAGGCTGAAAGTAGTGCATGCTCAGCGTTGGCATGTGCATGCACGTGATCGGAAACTCACCGGCATACTCCACCCGAGCCATCGAGAGTTCACCAGTTCCGACAATCCCACCCACAAGGCGATTAGCGCTTCCATTTCCCACGCACGCCGTGGGCGGTACATGGGATCCCCAACGTACGCCACGTCCCACGGCCTGAGTGAGGAAGGAGTGCGCCACACGAATCAGGAGCGATGAATGAGACGTTTAAGAGCGCGGGATGAAAAGCGGTGAACAACAGTAAGGGGTGGAACGTGAGGAGTGAAAGTGTGAGGAGTGAGGAGCGCGTGACGGAGAGAGTTAGAAATTAGGATAAAAAATGAGCAGTGAGGCAAACGAGTAAGGAGCGAGGAATGAAGAGCAAAGTGTGCGAAGTGAGGGGCGGGGAGTGACGAGCGTCAGGAATGGGACGAGTGAGAAAGTGAGGATTGCGGAGCAACGAGTGACGAGTGGGGCATATGAGTGAGGAGTGATGAGAGAGAGACGAAAACTGCACCGTCAAAGGTATCGCAGCATCGTAATAATATTCGACGCGTTTTACCACGGGGTGTGTGTGTGTGTGTGTGTGTGTGTGGTGTTATCTTGTGTCGGACACGGCATGTGAAACGCCCTGTGGGGTTGTGGGTTGCGGCGTGCTTGGCATGGAGGAATGTTGTCATCGTGCCCCGTCAAGAGCGTGCAATAGACGCACACGCAGCATGTACACGGGAGTTTTTCCCGCGATAACATCATGCTCTGCAGGTGCCCGAACCGCACCTGTCCAGCACAGATTACAAGACAAACTGCATAAAATAGATACCCGCGAAACGACACCGAATAGGTCACCTCCTGTCATAAAACTGGGAATATTGCCGATGGATGCTGAGTTTACGGCGAAGAAGCAAGACGGCAATGGCAGCGACAGCGGTAGCACCCAACGACGGCAACAACAGCAACAACAACAACAACGGCAACAGAGGCCGCACTCGACTCACTTGCACGCCCTCTGTCCTGACGCTAGCTGTGCTCTCCCCTGCTGAGACAGGAAATACGGTGCCTGTTTTTCCCTCTCGGGGTGGAACATTTCGGACAGCTTCATCGCGCCCTGCGCCCCCCCTTGGCCATTCTCCTGTGCCGCGAAACATTTGATCCGTTCATGTCAGTGGTTGATCGATTCATCTCGACTCGTGGAATCATTGATGATTCCTTGTTATTGTTGTCTTCACGTGAAACCGTTCTAGTCTCCGCTCAGTGCCTTCTAACGCCCGTACCGTTCCGACCGACGCGGCCTTACGGTGACTACCACCAAATCATTAGGTCTTCATATCTGAGGTCAACCTTCTAACACTCTTAAAATCGTGGCATCAACTTAAAGACGGTTTATATAGTGCAGTGGGGACGGAATCAAGCCTTCAGAAAAAAAAAGAAGGAAGTAGTACAATCTGGAATAACAACCTCGATTCATACATCTGAAAATCTCTCTACCCCTCTCACCCCGTCATCCTGGGGTTTCCAGTTGGGTGGCAGGCCGAAGAGTTCCAGTAGTTTGCTAGAGATAGCGCGAGCACGCACGGTGACCTTTTCGGCCCCAGGCCCTGTGAACTGAGTGCACAGAAAAGCAGAACAACAAAAGAAGCAAACACACCACATCCAGGGGACGATCGTCGGCATGGGATCAGAGAGTAATGAATGCTAGTCGAGGGCAGTAAAAACCCCATGCGTGGTGCTTAGCGTTCGTAAAAACGGGGGAATCGAGTATAAGCTTGCGCGGTGTTCCAAAAATAACGACGTATTGTACGCATTTGACAACAAAGNAGATGTGTATAAGAGACAGGTGTTTGCCATCGGGATTGGGTTTTCGTCGCTTAGCAACGACGTTGTAAAACAAGCCAAGTCACTTCGTGAACTCGGCAACCAGGTGACCGTTTTTTGCTTTTTTGACCTCCGTTTCTTTTTTGGCGGGTACCATAATGGTGGTCGAGTAGATCATGTTGTGCGGGGTCGAGAACGCTCACTCCGCGCAAGGGGGATGATCGCACCACATGTGTTCAAATGGTCAAGCACCCTCGAGGCAGTTACACAGTGATTACAACTGTCTCAGGAAGTGAAAGCACCAGAAAAAAATTTAGTCATACGCAGCTGTCATCCGTACGCAAGAAAGCAAGCACAAGATGCCGAACACCGTTGTTAGCAGGATGCAGCGCACCCTTCATGCGACTCGCCGAATATCTCACGGCGCTTCGCGCTTGGTGATGTGAGAGCCTGGTCCGGTGAGAACCCGGCGTGCTCCGTCCCGGCTTTGTAGGGATGCGAGGTCAATGGTCTAACGACTACGGCATGCACGACTATGAGTACACCCCCCCCCCTCCGGTGTTTGCCTATCGGGATTGGGTTTTCGTCGCTTGGCAACGACGTTGTGAAACAAGCCAAGTCACTTCGTGAACTCGGCAACCAGGTGACCGTTTTTTTCTTTTTTTACCTCCGTTTCTTTTT